ACTGTGAGTCTGGAGTTTTGGTCATGGTGAACCTGCATAACTCCGGCTGTTTGTGAGATACTCGCACCAGAAGCATCAGTGGGAATAAAAAGGAAGTGAAAACACTCATGTGTAATGTGAATTGGGTCGCGTCTAATTTATTTTATAGCTTTTCACAGTGTGCATATATTCCTTATGGTGGCACAGTGTGTGTGTTGGGGGTCTAGTGATGAGCGATGCCACTGATTTCCTTTCCAATCCGATACCAAGTAAAAGGGTGGTATCGACGATACTGATCCAATACCAATACTTTTATTTATTTATTGTATCTCAAATCATCATGATTACAGGACATCAGATTACTTGTTCTTATCACTTAATAATGCAGAGTTCATCATATAGAAATAAAAAAACTGAAGCTAGTTGAACACGTTGCCTGCAGCACTAAAGGACTCCCTGAGAGACGTCTGTCTCGCCCTAGCAGCACCTGTCCTCCTCCTCCTCCTCAGTTCGCCTGAACATACGCTCGTCATATTGTGTGATATGATTTACTCTGAGGTGTTTGACGAGGTCAGTGGTGTTGCCACAACACCTCACTTTCTTGCCACATGTATCACAAACCACGTCTCGGCTGTTTGTGGAGGTAAAATACGTCCACACATGACTCTGTTTACGCTCAGCCATTGTTGTGAGTGCGCACGCCAGCGGCTGCGATACATTTATACAGCCGTGTTTCACACATGACTATGAAAGGCGGAGAGGACGTAGTTCCTTCCAGTGCAGACAATCTGAATGTTATAGTGTCTTTCCACTGTGTTCCTGTTAATGATAAACTATATATTTACCCTAAATTACTAAAACATCGATATTTTAATGTGAGAATCGATTCTAGAACATAAATGATTGGTATCAGAGGAATCGATATTTTAGTATTGATCTGCACATCACGAGCTGCAGCACCAAATAACATTAGATGTTGAAAGCAGAGGTGGTGTTACAGCAGTGTGTGGCTCTCTCTCTCTCTGCTAATAGGAGTGAATGTTGATCGCCCAGCAGTCTGTCTCACGTTCTCTCAGTAATCATTAGAATAAGATATTAATCTGTTATCTATATAATGTTTATTTACTCTTCACAATCCACATAATAATAATAATAATAATAATAATAATAATGAGACATATTGAGGATGTTTTCCTTCCAAAGCTGTCCTTCAGCACTGACGAGGCCCGGTGAATCCTTGCGCGTGGCTCTACACGAAGCAGGAACCTAACCCTTGTCTGGTCGTGGTCACGTGACCTGGGTGTTTTGACCCACGCTTCTGACACTCGTGACAGTAAACGTCTGTTTCGAGGCTGCCGGCCCCATGCCCAGATCAAGGCAGCCAATCCAAACCTTCCGTTTCTGTACCACGTGATTTTGAAACGCGGAAAAACACGACCTTTGGTTCCAGTCTCGGAGCGGAGGTTCGGAGACGATGAGGCGGGCCGTGGTGCACGTGTCCGTGGGCTTCCTGCTGTGTGTCGGGCTCGTGAACACCGGCCTGTTCGCGGACGTCGACGTGGACCTGAGCTCCGAGCACTACGCGGAGAGGCGGGTCCACGGTCTGCCCGCGTTCTTGGCGATGCCCTGTAACTGCGTGGTCAATGTGGGTTATGTGTGCGTGGGGCTGTACTGGCTGCTGTGGCGCGGGGACGACGCTGAGTCGGAGCGCGCCCGCTACCTGAGGCACGTGTTCGCCCTCATGGCCGTCTTTTACGGCCCCGTGCAGTGGACGCGCCTGGCCATGCTGCGGCGCGCTCCCGCCGTTCTCGACCAGTGGCTGACTTTACCGATCTTCGCGTGGGTGCCGGTGTGGATCGACTTTATCCAGAGGCGGACCGAATGGCGCGCGTCGCACGCGGCGACGCTCGAGCTCGGCTCCGTTCTCAGCTACGGACTGGCGATCGCGCACCGACGCGGCTTTGACACGGCGCTCGCAGGTCACGTGCTCTTTGCGGTGTACAAAGGGGTCGACGTGCAGCGGACGCACGGAGATGTGCGCACGCGCAGACACCTCGTGCTGGCTTTGCTGTCGTGTGCAGGCTTCGTGCTGCTGAAGCTGCTGGATCACCACCTGGCTCAGTACCGCCTGTTCCAGCGCTTCACCGGACACTTCTGGTCCAAAGTGTGCGACGTGCTGCAGTTCCACTTCAGCTTCTGCTTCCTGACCAGGCTGACGAGCAGAGCGCGGGCCAAGACGGAGCCGCAGCAGCAGTGACAGACACGCAGCATCCAGCAGCATCCACGCAGCTTCCTCCAGCTGGGACTTCATTCTGTCTCATTCCACACAAGACCACATCTTCATCTCAGCACAACTCCAGATTCTGTTCAGCTTCAATACTTTAGTTCCACATAAATATTGATCCTCCCTGAGCTACAGTAGCAGCTGCGGCCACTTGGCTCTAGCTCCAATCAGCTGTATCTAATAACTAGAGGTGGGAATCACCA